ACTGGATGACATTGATTTCGTCGCTGAATAGCGTCCAAAAAGAGTTCAGTGGTTTAAAATCTGAGTCAAGGTAGGCGTAGGGCAAAAAGACGAAAGAGTAAACGGATGGGAACGAGCTGTAAAGGGAAGGTTCTACCCGCTTTTCTCATTTCTTCTACGACATTTATTCTTTTATTTCTTTTTATTCGAGGATTTCTTTCCAGTCGTCGTTGAATTCGTAACGTATTCCCCCAAAAACAGGAATTCCAAGCATTTCTTATCGGTCTATTCCAATGTGGGAATGATTGATTGTCTTGAAGTGAAGTGTGTCCAAACTGGATTTTCCCCTTATTATGGCTCCAAAAAGTTATGCTAGTTTGGGCGCGAAGGTATCGTCATACATTCTTATCCTAGGGCTTTCCTTGGGTTTTACGCGGTTGTCTCTCAGTGGTATTCGTGAAGAAAGAATCATGTATTCCGGTGGTTTTCTTTCTGATGAAGTTCAATTGGTCGAAAATTTCAATTGCTTGTTCAGTGCTTAATGAAGGGAAACCAGCGCTTTCTTTGTTATTTGCACGAAGCGGCATGAAAGCTTGGCCACTGAAATTATGTGTTTATCAGCAAGGAGTCACATGTTTGCTTGAGCTGCTCCTGCCTAGTGAGTGAATTGAATCGATAACGAAAACGACCCCGATCGGCAGGAACTCCACTGGGTGGTTCCAATGTGGTGCTGCTGTTGCCGATTTTGAGTGCTTCCGATGGTAGAAAGCATCTTTAGGTCTCTTTTGGGATTCTGCCAATCAAGAGCTTTTCTCACTGACTCGCCAGGATGGGAAGTGAAATAATGCGGTTTTGAGATATGGTGACAACTTTCTTGGTAAACAACTTAGTGATTTCTGAGAGAAAGGACTTGTGTTAAAGGTGAAATTGGTGAAGTATTCGTAACTCTTGGTCCTTCGCTCATGGGAGTCTATCTTAAGGCTCCCATTCACGAGTTGAAGCCAATTATGTTGTTTTTTGAGCTCTAGAGTCATTACTTCTGAGAATGTCTATTTAGATGGGGAAGAATTTTTGTGCTATTTTAGGGGTACTATGTAGAGTGAGAAATAAGGGCAGAGATAGGGAGGAAAAGATGGGAACGGAAGAAGGTTAATACTCACAACGGATAGAGAGATTTTCGCATGTTCATGCTTTCTTGAGGAGTTCTTTGGGGCTTTTAAACCGAATGCAGGCTCCTCTCGTGCCCTTGGTACCGAAGTAATACTTGAAAACTTGATATTTGATATGTAGTAGTAATTAACAGCTCATAGTGATGGCAAATACGTTTAGGGGTAAAGAAAGGTGACATGTTAATCTATTTTTCAATAAAATTATTTTGAGAAACATGTTTCAAATAATCACAGCCTCAGTTAAGAGAATCTCGGGCTTTTGTTACACTAATTCTATTTTGAAACCATAACGTGCATTTGGTGGACAGTTATTTTCTGATGATTTTCTAGAAGTTGTCCGTCCACATTCCCATCGTATCAATCTGTGTAGGGAGTGATAGTGACAAACGAGCGTTAGAGAATGTGTTATGAAGTGAGGGGAGAGGGACAATGAATTGGTCGAAATCGCTCAATCAGACGGGCTATTGATCGCGGGATATATTATCAATTGTTTCTACTATATTGACTGTTCTACATGGATCGTTAGAAGTATTCTGGCTCCCGGTTAGCTGTTCCCCACCCTAGGAGCGCGCTTTTCAAAACTTTTGTTCCAAGGAATGTTTGAGGGGAGAATCTTGTCAGTTTGAGAGGAATGTTGTAGTGTTCGACTGCCAGCCTAATGATGTTATTTGATGATAAAAGCTGTACGATACAACGTATAGCTGTTTATACGGAATCTTGTAGTGACTTCCGCAACAGCTGACGGACATGTTTGTAATCAAGGCCTGGGAGCGAGATAACAGTGTGTTTCGGTCGCTATTGAGGCCTTCGAATCGCATTGTGGCGTCACATTGTTTGCATTCCATTGCAATGATGAAATGCCTCACCTCGAACGTCTCCGCATAACTGAAAGGCCTTACGACGCCATAATGCAATGAAAAATACTTTTCTACATAGGGAATAGAAGTAATCGCTGAGTAATTGAGTGGTTTCAGGCTCCTCACGAACTTGAAGTCGAAGATGAGCATTTCCCAGCAGGTCCTATTGACGAGACAAATGGATGCTCATCGACTCCAAAAAGGGTGTCAATGTCTCAGCCGTTGCCGATCGACTTATTACCAGCCGAAACTGTTAAAGCTGATGAGGAATTCGAAGGAGGCTTGAGAGTGATACTCACCGACTATAGAGTGAGATTTCTTGCCCTAATTATCAAATTTCTTTTGGAGTGTATAATAAATAGATACTGTAATTATAGATCTGTATACTCGCCCCCAATAATCGCGCATTGCGTGTGATTCTACTCGTGGCCATAGAAACAATAGATTTCCGGGATCCTCTACAGATAATCATCAGCTGTAAAGAAGGGCGTGTTGCGTGGTGAGTCAGGTTTCAGTCATTTATGACTCATTTTGTTTTGCCCCGTTCAGAATTTTTTCCAATTTCCTACCTACATCGTATTGAGGAGCGGTAGTCGCTAGTTTGACTCTAGCGAATCGTGCAGAGGCCGTGTGACTTGCTTGTTCCCATATGAAAAAGATTCCGAAGGAACTCTATGATGGGGTCATGCGAGGAAGTAGAAAGGCAGACGTGCAAAAAGTTAATAGTGTGTTCTTTATGGGAGTTTTTCCGACTAGGGAGGCAAACACATGACTTGAATGTTGGAGCGGCGACTCTTGCGCAATCGTTTTCCTTATTTGTTGCTCGTTCGATCATATGATCGGGCCAGTGGACGATTTATGAATCGTGTCTTTGGTTGACACGGAACAATTGGATCGAATATCAGTTGGGGTCAGAACTGACAGTTCGATAGAAGGCATGATGAATAGTGACAGTAGTGATCCCTTCCCTTTGATAGTGGCGATAGAATAACAAAGGAGTTCGTTGACGAGATCCTGATGTCGTTACTAAAATATAAATTCTTCTTTTTACAGCTTACGAGCTAAATCAACCGAAAGTGCTATTTCTTGGCATAAAATGCTCTATAGAGCAGCAAATCGCGTCAACTGCCAAGAGCTATTTGCATGGAACTTTGCCAAGCAGGTCAGCTAACCCATCTATTCATCATTTTCGGATATTTTCCAGTTTAAGAGAAAAGTTCTCTAAGTATCTTGTTTTTAAGGTAAGAAAGTCAAAGTACTCGTGGTTGAGTGATACAGAACCTGTTGGCGATGAAGTGCTTGTTCGGAAAGAGTTCGAACGTCTTGACTATGATCGCGATCATTTTCGAATATCCGATGACAATAAAGGATTTATGTCAGTTTGAGGTTTATTTGGGCTTTGCCTAACAAGTTCTGAATTATTGATTTTCAGATTATCACCTACTTACCCAGAGTACATGGTCATTCCTAAAGAGATTAGTCGCGAAGATCTAGTTTTTGGAAAGGACTTTCGATTTTTACAACGATGGCCTGCTGTCGTGTGGAAGTGTAAAGAAACGGCAAGTTTTTCATTTCTCTTCAGAACTGCGTCCTCTTAAAGATCTGCTTTTATTGGACACTGTTTTTCTTTTATTTTTCATTTTTTTTCCAAATCTCCGTTTGTAGGTTTCTTTTTCGGATATATTTTCTGTTTTCAGAGAGCTGTGCTATTACGTAGTAGTCAACCAGGGCTGAGCATTTTTGGGTGGAGGAATAATGCTGACGAAAAGTTTTTCGAACTGGTTCACAAATATCTCGACACTTATTCGCCTGGTATGTGCCTTTTTAACTTTAATGTTTGCCTTATTTTACTTTTTGTTGAAATCGTTACCCAGGAAGATTGGTTAATTTATTTAGAGTATAAAAAATTAAAGTGAGGCCCATATGAGTATTCATCCTGAAAGGTCTACTTTTAAGGCAAGGATATGTTGATTATGGATGCCAGATCCTATGCTGCTGCCTGGGCCAACCGTGCGAAAGGAGGAGGATTTGAACATCCGGGTTTGTAGTTTTAATTTCTGGCGTAGTATAAACCAAAGAAAATTTTTGAAATGAAATATGAGAATTATTTCATGCTGTAACTTAATCATCTTTTTTTTTACCTGACTATCTTTTTTTACGTTGCCTTTGACTAGTAAATACTTTCACCGATAGTTCCAAAATAGTCGTCAGTAGGAAAATTGCTACACGAACAGCTGTCATTTGTGTAGAATTGCATTCTAATTGGTAGGTATTAAGTCAGAATTCGTCTTCAGTCACAACTTCCAAGCTACTTTTTATTCTCTTCTTTAAAAACAGGGACTTATGATCCGTAGTATGATTTTAATGTGCTGTTTCATAAGCGGCCAAGTGAACAGGATTGTTCCACAGGTATTAGTACGAGATTACGAGAATCGCGCTGAAGGGTTTTTTATCGCATGGTAATCTGTGATAATCTCAGCGCATAGCACAATTATATTGATAGGCTTTTCTACACTTTTATATTTTGATTGCTTTTCGTTGGACTAGATTTCCTTTCGTAAAAGGGTAGTCCAACGAAAAGCAATCAAATATGAAATACGAGGTAATATAATATAAAGATAGAGCCTTTGGTTGGAATTGTCCTATTCCCCCTATGATTACAGAGTACTACCAGCGAACTCGTGTGGACTGGCTGGCGTTGCCCAATATCCACCATGTGCGATATTCGTTTCATCAGCTACGAGCTCTGCTCTGTTCTAATCAGAATAAAACGGGGGAGTCGTATCTCTCGGTGAGTACGCTTGTTAATCTGTTTTCCGATGCTTGATCGCTCATTAGTCCTTATAATTAGTGCAATGACGTTCTAGGCCTTGGAGGGAACCTGCTGGTTGAAATACATCAAAGACCTCATGAACTCTGCACGAAAATGTGTTGACACTCTTTTCGACGGTCAGTTAAATAGCACTTGCCAACATCACCCACGTGTGTTATAGATCTTTGCAATAGCATATATGCAAACATCTTTAGGCCAGTCAGTTTTGGTGCATTGCTCGGACGGATGGGATAGAACGACGCAGATCGTGTCTTTGGCAAAGCTGATGGGTGATGAGTACTACAGAACAGTGCAGGTCAGCTGGTGTCGACTAGCTTTTTTTTAATTATAGTTTCATCGTCATCAAAGCCAGTACTATAAATAACAGATTTGTACTGTTGTTTATGAGTTTTCTATTGCGTGATGATACAGTNCACACGCACTACTTGACGTGATTCCTTAATCTTTATGAAATTGAATTGATCGAAAAGAGTTTTTGTTTTTATAGGGTTTCGAAGAGTTAATTCGACTAGAATGGGTTGCGTTTGGCCACAAGTTCGCCGATCGAAATGGTATCACAGGCACAAACAGCAATGAACAGTCTCCAATCTTTCTACAATTCTTGGATGCTGTTCATCAAATGCAACATCAACTTCCAACGGCATTCGAATTCAACAAGCAGTATCTCGTAAGTTGCTATTCTTCTTTTTAAATGATTTTTTTTTGATTAACGGGAGCAATTTGTTTGTTGGTTTAATGCGCTCGTGGTTTGGAACAGATCTTCGTGTCCGATATGTGGCTAATACGATAAATCGATATTGGCGTGTCCTGGGAGTACAAAAATTGCAGAAATGATTGAAATTTGAGGGTTTTATAGTGTGGGATCAAAAGGTTCAGTCAGCGGTGGAGTTCGAGTCGCTTCTGACTGTTCCCATTTTCTACCCTGAACTTTCTCCCTTTTCCTTTCTTGTTCTTTTGCAAAGTGCTCAACGTGGCTCTGCTATGACTTTGACGTTGCGGGTTATCCCTCCTAAAAAGGTACTGAATGAGTCGTCTTTGAGAAACAGAGATTGAACCGAGTTTTTTTTTTACCCATACTTTACTTTGTTCTTGGCCTTACTACTTTTTTTGTCTTTTCTCAATTTTCGAGAACTTCCTTTTCGAAGCCAAATTGTTTTTCTTGCTAGGAATCTTATTAAGATTTTTCCATTTCCATTATTATGCTGATTCAGTTTTACTTTTTACCTGTGTTCGATAACTGTTTGTATTAGGGGATGCAGATGAAAGGCTGTAGTTGAGGGAAGGATAAAAGTCATAGAAGATCATGTTTGGACCATCCAGGCGGTTTACAAGTACCCCTCATTAATAAATCGATAGCGCACAATGTTTAACCGCGGTTACTCCTGTGTGAGGAGTTGCCTATCCGAGTTAGAATCGATTCTAGAGAAGTGGAGATTGGTCATGCCAAGACGATTGCATGTTTTCTAGAAAGTCGAGGAGGGAAGCATTAACATGTTTGTTTTGCTTGTTCCTTTGATGGGCACTAATTACATAACTCTGCTCCCTTTTCGTAAATCAATGGATGAGCGGGTTTTCGTGCGAATGAACAAGTCTTTGTTGTTGGAGAACAAAAGTAAGACGTTTGATAGAACAGGGAACCAGTTGTCATGAGCTTTTTCACTACTATCTTCACGTAATCACATTTCGACACTAGGAACAGGCTAAGTAGATTATGGCGATTTGCAGCAACATTTAGAAGTGCTGTGGCGATTTGCGGCAACACTTTGAAGTTTTTTCATATTTGAATTTTGCATTTCCAAAACGGTACGACCTCTTTCTGCAAACGAATGCTGCTAGAAAATCGAGCATTTGCAAAATGTCCTTGTATTGGGTCGACCCAAAAACCGCTTTACCAAAAGTTATCGTGAAATCTTCGAGACTGCTTTTAGAAAGAGTTTTCAAAAGTCTTTCTTTTAGATCAAACTAGCGCAGCATGCATACTCGGGCTTGTTTGGTACGTTTTTGTTCAACTCACGTCGACAATCGAAGATGGTGAAAGAGGAGATGGGTGAGGAGCCGATATCGATTTGGAGATTCCTAAACCCGAATAACGAGCAAGTGGTGAGCTCCTTATACGACAAGGCGATCGTCGGAAGAATCACCTTCGACACCGAAATGAGCACATTGCGAGAATGGATTGAAGTTTATCGGGATCGAGCCTTCGATGATGATGTAAGTATTCATACTTTTTCGACGTTTTCTTTTCATATTCTTTCTTATTTCGTTAGCGATCACAAGTTGTTCGCCCTGCCTCTTAGGAACGTCATTTTTCTCGTTCCTTTTTCATTACTGCGCTTTTATAACTAGTTTCGATAGGTTATTATATTAATATCAAGGGCAACTTGCTATTTTGTTTTCCAGATATCGAAGAGTAGTAGTTCGTGGTATTGGTTAGCTATTACTATCAACATATTCATTGCGAACTGTCAGGCTGATTGCCAAGAAGGATAAAGCATGGGAAGGGTACACGAGGAGGTCGTGAAATGGGCCAAGCCAAATTTTTCTGTATTTCGGGATCATCTACACCTTTTCAACCCTTAGTAAAAACATGGATGAAGGAGGGTCTTATTTTGAGGCTGAAATTCATGTTTAGAGAGAAGGCAAAATTCGATTGAAAATTTCTTCATCATGAGATTCACACTTCAGAGAGAATTGTCAGTTATTCCAGGCGGTCCCTGCATATCCGACACGAGTTGGTCCGATTTCGGCACCACTAAAAGATCCAAGCTCGAATGCGGTGCCAGCAATCAATCCACCAACGCCACTTCAAAAAAGTAAAAGCAGTGAAAGCATTAATTCGGCAACGAATGTGGACGCCGCCATTATCAATGGAATGTGAGATTTCTTTCTTCTTTGGGCCCTGAATTTGTTAATAGTGATGGGGCATCAGCTTCGGATGGTGGTTTTATAATGATCGGGTTGAATCGGGTCAGTTAATCGAGGAACGAACCTGGTCGAGTGATTCATGAACTTTCTCAGGCAGTTTTTATATTCTGTTTACACTGGGGTAGAGCGGAGTTCGCTTTTTTGTGAGATGGAAAAAAAGGAATTCCTAAGTACATTTAGTTTTTCTAGCCTTTTCCCATGACGTGGCCATTTCCCTATTTCCGCTTTCTTCCCCACTGACATACCCCTTTTTCCTTCCACGTTTCTAAGTTTTGTCCAAATGATCGTGTAATCTTCTGATTTTTTTCTTGATCAAGATCGCTTATGAGTCACTCCGGGTCGAATGGAGCCATCAATATAGGGGCCTCGTCTCCTGAACATACTCTCATGGATACATCGATGATTAATTTGGTATGGCTATATAGTTTCATGTTATCGTCATTATTATATAATTACCATTTTGGTTTTTGACCCATCAAAGCTTAACCTTTAGGGCGACTTCACTGCTCCACCACCTGTGTCGACGTCTAGACGAGACGGTTGCACTGTAGTTGTTGGTTCTCCTCTTCATCCATGGAAAAGCATTCAGGAATGTCAAGACAAGGATGGTCTCATCAAATTCTTCGATCCCATCGAAGAGCGACAACGTATCATTAATAAGGCCCATCAGGTGCGTGAGCTTTATTTGTCATATACTCATTTTGTTTGCATTATGTTTAATGGATGTATGCTACCATTTATAAAAAAATTTTTTTAAGCGAGAATTGGAGAAACATCAGATAGACCAGATGAAGCGCAATAGGAGTTTTTCGGAACGTATAAATCTTGGTAACGGTACATGTAGGGATACGGCTAGCAGAATGGTAAGCGATGATTTGATGTTTTCCTTTTTCTCTCTTTTTTTACGAATTTTGAAAACTGTTATTTTTTCTTCTACTTATCTTTCAATTTACATTCTCGTTTTTCTCTTCCGAAAAATCGCTCTGATGGAAAGTTTTCGGTTTGCCTGTTAGGCGACAGTGGTGTAAGTATGCTATGGGAAACACTCTCTTTGATTATGAGTTTAATATCGTGAATCTCTGATCGATTCGGCGTCAGACATGTTCTTAGAAGTACAAGTGCATCCGTCTGTCTTACACCTTTCGCATTTGTTTGAGAAAGTCATCAAGTTTACGTACATTAGAGTCGTTCTTTGTGGGCACATTGATACGGGATCCATTTTGGGGAATACTCATGACCGTACGTCAACGAAAACGAAAATTTGAATCACGTGCGGGATTTTTTGTGAAATGTGAACGGGTGTTTTTTGAGTTGGGGTTTGTGGAGTGCATGCCAGTACAAGTAAACTTCGCTTAGTGCATTGAAATCATAAACCCATTAGTGGAATAGTTATCGGCAGTGTCAAGGAAACTATCGATAACGAATGATTCTGGACTAACAATCCGAAGAACGAATCAGTCGTCGTTATTGCAGTCATTGTCTTCCTGTGGCATGCAGCCAAACCGGCTCTCTAAACTACAAATCGTGCAAGACGTGGCTTGTGAGTGCAACAGGATCGTCTGCGTTGTCGTTTGAGTGGTGTTTTTGCTCTTCTAGGATTCCTGACATGCCTATTGATACACTTCCATCCCATTCAATGCTAAAGAAAAACTCAGATATCCAGTTGTTGAGTGGCTGTTGACAGCCTGACGTGGATTACATATAATGCGGAACTCGTAGTGATATGAAGGTGTCATTCATCACCAAGTCTTATCAGTGCTGGTAAACGATCAGAGTGGCCGCTACACTACAACATGCCAACACAAAGGATACGGATAGGATCGATTACGTAGAGACCGCATAGGTGCTTCTTCAAAGGAAAACCTACCACATACTAATGCAGGCGCAGCTTGTTTTTTGGAGCGTACGGCTCCAAAACAAGCCAAGCCCATTTGGGTGCCGCTCGAGTTAATTTAATTTTACTGAAGAATTTTCAAAATTGGTCTAATACTTCAATACTTCTCAAATCATACTCAACAGTAGGGTGCTGTTGTGATGTTTGAATGTGGGAATTTCTTTCAGGTATCGTTTGGCGAATGTGATTCGGATGGAGAATGTAATAGTCTGTGTCGTGCTCTTTCGGATGTGTCCGTAGTGGATTCGTGTGAAGTACCACGGGAATCGAGTGGCATCCCATTAGCACGAAACACTCATTGCCAAATCTGCAACAAAGTATATCCGATGATTGGCGTTTTACGACCCGAGGACGCTGAACATCGCTGCAGGTAAGAACTTAGGTTTTTGCCGGTTTAATTCATTTAGACATGGTTCTGGGGGAATCCCTCAAGAAAACAGCGAACTGGGTTCCAGGTTATGTATGAGGTCGGTGTGCCATCAATGCTCACGCAAAAGTTTTCATACCACAGAAGATGACGGTAAAGGAGTACAACGTCGTATTTGTGATAGATGTTATGAGAAGGTGATCTCCACGCCAGCAGATGAAGAGAATGAACATCAGGTCAGTGCTAGCAAAAATTGTTCAATAGTTCCTTTACTTCCTTGTTTTTTTTTTCAAAATTGTTTATCTACACTTTCGCAGCAACAATCGGATTAGATTTGGTTGTGTGTCTGTAGAATTTATAATTCTATCCAGGTCGGTGTTGATATCATTTGGTGCAGCCCTAGAGGCTTATCACGTGTTTTTGTGGTACTATTGTTATTTTGAAAGTAGCTGTTCTGACGTAATAGTATTACTTTCGACAAGCGATAAACAACGTGGATAGGTTAATTTTGAATGCTATAGGTCAACTCACTCATACTTACTGCATTCGAAATTACTATGTTCATTGGTTTACCTCAATAATAGGGTTTACGCAAAGTTGGATATGAGTTATGTGATGGAGGAATGAGAAATGTAGACGTAGGCGTCCAGAGAACTGCCGGTAAAAGACCCACTCCGTTTTGGGGTTGCCTTGATGATACATATCATGTCTGTGGCAGCTAACTACCCTTCCGATTTCTTTGCTTAGTGCCTGCCTTTTGTTATGCACACCCTTCAAAAATTTCCGTTTTCATCGGCAGGAATCCATTCGAATCCAATTATTTCTGTAACTGGCAAAGAGTGTACTATTAGAGAACCCAACTAGCTTTTCATGCTGAAGTTTAATTCAAAGATCACCCTATGACTAGACCTGTTGTCATCAGACCAGCTGTCAAAACAACAATGTATGGGAGTCCAGGGTAGGTGCAAACAACATCTAAGATGATTCGTGACAAGTAGATGGGGACCAACATGTTCTTCTTCATAAACCCCCTCAACTCGCTAAGCCTAGGCTGACGGTTTACCTCAGACACGTTGTGGTAATATTATATTATGGTCTTTGTCCATACTTGATTTAAATGGAAGCATCAAAACCAGTTCAGCTTTCCTAATCTAAACCTCTTGTACGTCCAACTAAGAGCTCGACTCTGCCTCATCAAACATTATTGGGCTTACAGATAGATACACCCAGATCCTGACCTAGCGATTTACAAGAGTTTGCGTAAATAAGTAATTTGTTTGTTATGTTAACGGGTTATCTCTGCAGGCTCCATCAACTTGATTATCTGTTTAATTACATAGGATGGATTCTTCGAATAGTTTGATTAGTGTTTGAGCATTCTCAAGACTGGTTTTCTAATTTCTGTTTACCCACAAAGGTGATAGTTTAACTGAATCCATTTTTATTTTTTCACGTCTAAATACTTAATCATATCAAGCTTCTACCAGATTAGAAGAGACCTTGGCCAAGGGTTAGGCTTGGTTCCCANTGAATCCATTTTTATTTTTTCACGTCTAAATACTTAATCATATCAAGCTTCTACCAGATTAGAAGAGACCTTGGCCAAGCGTTAGGCTTGGTTCCCATTCGAACTATACATCGTAGTTGATCAACTGATCAACTTAGTGAGAAGCCTCTATGTTTGAAACGTGACAACTTTTTTAGTCCTTTAATCGGGTCAAATTTGCTTTTTTTTTCAATACGTTCAAACTTTGCAGGATCTGCCATCACTGCTTAGCTTGAGTTCATCGCCACCACGTCGCTCGTCCTCAGTTGGCGATACGAAACTGTCATCGTCATTCTCGTACATGGGATCGCCAAGTCAAGCTGTGAAAGGCTGAAGGCGGGGATACAACGATCCATCTCATCTCTGCCTGGTAAATGTCGGTTTGGTACGCCGTTAAGACTCTCTGTATGAGCTGTGCTGGACGTCCTCAGATAGAGATCGTTTGTCATTCGTTTGATGATTTCGTATGACAAATGCTATCCGAACTTCATCCGCTTTGGATACTCGAAAGAGTGTGATGTAAGTGGTCGATCAGCTGCTCCTGTCAGCACCCCCTCGAGTAATTGTTTATACAAAACATTGTATATATAGAGATTGTCTATTGACTAGTGTTTGTTTCCTATGAAAACGCCGTACCGTAGCCGAGATTATATACGCTAAGCGTAGCTTGAGAGTATCTTTTCTATAACTCCTTCGCCCTCCTCATCTTTTGTGTTCATATCGTTTCAGATTCTACATATTGTAGTGTTCAAAATGCTTCAAGACTTACGGTTTCTACAGTGTTTCCCTCTTTCTCGTTTCATTTTCGTATACGCTAGTTGTCTCAGAATATGTGCAAACGGGGTTTCCGTCACATGCACTCGTGCGCACTTTTACAGGCGTCTAGGCGGTTTATACTTCATTTAGTAGTTTTGATCGCTAACCTCGTTCCTCTAAGCACTCACCCTTACATTCGCATCCATCTATTCTTTCGTTTTCTTAACTTTAAAGCTTCGGGTAGAAAACTGCGGGTGTTTAGGAAACCGTTCAGTAGTTTTAGCCACGCTCACCCACCGCCGAGAACGTCATCCCTCCTCCTCGAAGCGCAGCAGTACTCCTATGCATCTCAATGTTTTCGATTCAAGCCTTTGCTCCCCATTTTCAACTCGAAATCAAGCAACTGCCGAGAATAACTCGTATATGCGCACGATGTGTATGTGTGTATCCGGTTTACACATATGTATGGGCTTCTGCGTGTATGTCTATGCATGCGTGTGTGTATGCGTGAGTTTTGCATGCATGTCGTCGTCGTTGTCGATGTTCGAGGACCGGCTGTAAATGTCCTTCACTTTTGCCTGTTTTGGTCTGTGATCGTAGACGTTTTAATTGTAGAGCGGTTCTTCGTGGTAGTTGTGTTGTGTGTTTACGTGCTGTGTGCCATATACGCCGAAGTGTGTGTGTACGAGAGTGGTCAAAAGGTCTGAAAGAACTGGTCTTCAACGACGATGTTGTACCTGGGTAACACGGCTGTGTTTTTTTGGCATGGCCCTTGCATTGTCAGCAATCTCGCACTACTGGTTTCAAAATTAATTTTGGGCAAACAATTTGTTTCGCACACAGGCCACCAATGCATAATTGAATTCGGTTTCGTAAAGGTGAACCCAATACATGTAGGAAAGGCAAAAGTGATGAAGTTTTGAGAAAAAAATGGCTGGAGATGGAACTAGGGTCAGCAGATATCAAGTTGGATCCAATTCTGCACTACTGGCCGCTATAAAAGGAGCGACTTGTTTGTCTGAAGTTATTTCCGAGTCTTGTGAAGTGAAATTTCTGAAATTGCGAGAGTAATGCTGAAAGCATGAGGATTCGACCCTCTGTGGTCACCCAGGGATGACATCGCCATTGAAAACCCCACCTGGTTGACTCTTTGGCCGCCCGATGTACATCATATACTGAGGGATGTGGTGGTGGGTGTATATATTAACATAGCAGCTGCAGCAGATGAATTAGTATTTGTGTGTGTATGTGTGTAGGAGGTGTGTGTGTGTTGTGGTGTGTCTACCGATGTTCTTTATCACCATCCAACGACAGGTCCGCGTGTGTTCAATATTACTGTAATTTATCATCTAGACATGAGAATATCTTTTAAGTATATATGTATAGATGATTAGAACGAGATGACTTCATATGTCGAGTGAATCTTTTGCTCATTTGATTTCTTTTTTTCTTATAAGAATGAAAATGCTAATGTTGTTGATGTTTGTTGTACGGAGGATGGTTAAGGCCATCTATTGGAAAAGCGGTTAACATCTCAAGACATTTGTAATCCAGAGTGGTTGCGGCTATACTTGGCGATATTCGAATCGCGGCAGTGCGATGGCATGCTGCTGGAGGGTATAGGAGATAGAAAGAGAAGATTCAGGTACTTCATCCGCTATTGTCTGTATTCAGACTTGGTGAAGATTCTCGGCCAGCGTTCCTTGACCATAGCTAAACTATCGGTATTGATCGCTTGCAAGCGCGATTCACCGGGCGTTGCCTGGCGACGGCCATTGGCCAACGTTGACTATAAACGTAGGGTTGCCTCGCTGATTGTGCCTAATAACTGCCCGAAACAATAAGTTGATATCGCATATTTCAATTAGCAGGATACTTATGGTCTAAAAATCGATTATCGGTCTTACTGATTAACGTGATCAAGGAATTTTTAGTTTCTTCGCTGTTGGTAGCGTATGGTGGGTAGAGGTCAGCAGTTCCTGGAACAAAGCTCCATTGAATTGAGAGCTATTTTAAGCCTGTAAGGCTCCTTATCACGATTTCTCGGCGAGCGCTATGTTTGCTTACTATACAGTAAGACTTTTTATGGTATTGGGAATTATCATATCGTTATCAGTACGAATTCGAAAGCCTTATATTGTGTACAAAACTGGAAACCCGGCTATTGTGACGAATATTGACGTTGAGATGGGCGGGGCATTACGAATTTGATCAGCTGATTGTTGAGTAACAGGTTAGAGCAATGCTATTTTCGGCGAAATGTCGATGGAATTTGGTGATAAAATACCCGATGACATAATTGTTGCCAAACTGGAATGAAAAGGACTGCTATCCCGCCTTGGCGCTCCCATTTTTCTTGTGCTGTATTGGTGTCTTTAAAGGAGAAACGGATCATGAATCTGGGAGGGGTGGTCAGGTCCATTGGGGCTTTTAGCAGGCGGGTTCTTTTTTTATATCTCGCCCACTCCAAGTTATCAGCACTCGGGTATCGGCTATGCTGCAACGGATTCAACTGAAGTACCGACAAATGACTGACGGTTCTTTCACTGGGGAATTTGCTACTCCGAGCATTTCTCTGATCCAGACCTGTCTACGTTCAACTCCCCTTGGACAACCAAATGTGAAGATGGGTTTAGGGTCGGCTTGAGGTTTCTGTTCTTTGATGGGATTAGCGGGACTGGATTACGGTTGGCTGAATGGGGTTGGGAATGTGTTCTTGTAGCCGTCGAGGAATGCGGATTAGAGTTGAGTCTGTCCGCTGTCCTCTTCATGTGTGATTGACCTTAGACTTGATGCTGTTTACCTTGCCTCTTGAAAATTTGCGTGGGGCAGTCACCCAGAACTAGTCGGCGATTCAACCCGTTCCCTTACCGGTAGAAAAATTTGTGGTGTTGGTTGTGGGCAGAATAGGGTTAGGGTAACTGCCCCACGGCCACGGAGTTAGAGGTTAAGGTAGGATTTCTGCGACCGGTGAGAAATGCTTAGCGATTCAGCTGCTGGAGATGATGATGAAGGGTTTATTTGCCGATCATGTTTGTTTCTCGTGGTGACTATCTTCTCGTCCGGTAACATTCACATGATGCTTTGCAGAAGTGCATAAATGTGGACTGACGATGCACACACACACACCCAGGGACGTGCAGACGGGAATGACTCATTTCGTGGCAAAGATCACGAAAGCACAGCGACTGGTCGGCGCCGACGCCGCCACTGTGTAGCCTGCAAAGATTTTGTGGAACGTCATCCTTACGCCGATTGCCGATAGCGGGACCGAGAGTTGTGGCATCAGCTGGAGTTCCTCTCATGAAAAGTGGCCATGAGACCAAATTTAGGCTCAATTCCTATTCAGAGCACCCAGTCCACTCAGACCGGTTTATTGCGAAGGAAAAACTCGTACATCGGCCGGTTTTTCGGAGTATAGATAAGATCTCAAGCGCCCCAACAATTCTGAGTGAAAGTTGGTTGTGTGGCGCATCCCAAGTTATTTGGCACCAATCGATGAAACAGGGAGATTTTCAGGGGACTTTCTGTTACATGGGCTCGAAGTTTTTGTACAAAATTCAGAATTATTTGGGGTGTGGCTGCGACCAAATCAGTATGGGGTTTGCCTGTAGAGTCTTTTGAATATTCACGAAGAGGTACCTATGAATAGTAAAGTGGCATTAGTGGAACCAGTCCGTTCAGCAGGAACCACCTTTTGTTCAAAAAGCGTCCAGGGGAACGCCCAGATGGCAAGAGGGTGCAAATCACTATTGAATCACAATTCGAGTTAAGAAGTCTTTTTATGAGGGTCATGACGTTCACCATTCTCCTTCTTTGACTCCACCCGCCCAGTGCTCCTTATAGTCCGGTCAGAAAGGCAACTCAGGAACCGGTTTCGTTAATAGGATATCCCGGACAAGCAGTTTTTGACGAAGAGCTCGTCGTTTCGGAGACGTAAGAGACCTTGTTTGGCATGATACTCGGTTAGCCTGAATATCGCTTTCAGGATCTGCATTTAGAGTAAGCCACACATTCGACATCCGCTTGGGTTTATGGTATCCTTTGAAGGCGCATCTGTCCTTTGTTTGAATGGCTTGCAGAGCCCAACCAGCAATTAAGTCGGCATTTTCACCCTCTCAGGCTAACTCATGCGAAATAACTGGCTCTGGAGGGATGAAAGCCTGAAATGGCTTAAGTGGGTTTTGTTTCCGCGGGATCTCATCGTTCATATGCTTGCATGACGAGTTCTGATTTTGCCCTTCGGCACGCGTTTCGTTCAGTAACTCCGCTCTCAGTGGTCCAACGTATTTGTTTTTTGAACTGTAACAACGTCCTACGTGTGATGGCAATCAGGGAATACCATTTTGGAAAAACTTTTTCGACTGATTCACGTAACATCCATCAATCAATTCAGACGAATTACGCAATACCTGAACGAATCGTTCAATGAGTGCAACCGGGCTTTTTATCGTTGCACTTCTTCTCCTTCGATCTAATGATGAAATCGACGCTTGCATTCCATCACTGCAATAAAATCGCTCGCTTTTCGTCGGAATTCAATGACGGGACCTTCGACCATAGTCATCGCCAACGAATTGCCACCTTCTCAACGCTTGATCGCAGTAGCTACGATAACTCTAACTATGGAATTCTTCAAATAATATCAGTGGCGCTGGTCCACTTCACCTCTGCGTAATGTACAGACTTCTGAAGATAATGGATAAAATCTCTGCCTCTGCAGTTAATCAATTCCGTTTTGGGATATGCCCTGCATTCAACATCAATTCAGAATCGCAGAGACGTTTGAATGCGTATCCGGCTTATCCCATGACTTGCTGTGTCCAGCTGATGCTCGAGTCAGTACTTTTAACTTTCCACACGAGCGCAGTACGAATGAACCGACCCTGGAGGGATGGAAAGCTTGGATAGCCTTTACAAAAGTGGTGATTCGAACCCGGACCATGTGCTTGTTACCACATCCGCTCAAATCAATAAGTATATATGTTGGCGACGACAAGTACTCTGTCAAACGGAAATGCTCTGAAGGTACATATGTTGAGCAGGCAGGATAAGGCAGTGCTCCATAGCCGAAGTCTCTCAACTTCTGAAGGATACTCTCAGAGTACAAAGCGGTGCATGAAGTTCTTTCGCTGATTCAAGAACAGTTTTTGTACGTACGTCTCTACTAGCAACTTCAGGCATTCATCCTTATGCTCAACTTTCTACCTCGGCTTGGTTCTCTTTGAATGATTGGGTCTTTGGTTCGGGTTCTCGAAAAAGGAAGATTAGTACCATGAATTGGAAAGGCACCTAATTCTTCCTTTCTAGGAATTTTCACGGCCTTCATAGCTTTTCGTGGACATCTGAATTTGTGAAGCTACAGTAGCGCTCAAAAGTCTTCGGTGAAATGCTTCGACGCTTTTTTGTTCATAACTTTTTTGTTAGTAGACCAAATCGCGCGAAATATGGATAAGTTTAACTAGAGCATATTTCATCCTACTCAAGCAAAGCTGCAATATCCACAGATAGAGCAAGGTGTTTGTTGCGGTAGCAGATTTTGCTAAAAGTAAGGTTGTTGACGTCTGCACTTATTCGCACCTTATGTGCGTTTTTCTCATCTATTGTGTTCGGCGTTACCGCTCGTACACTTTAGACATGACAGAAAGGAAAGAGATTCTAGAAGGACCATCATCTGTATTTTCAATCGATTTTGAGTTCATGCTCTTTGGAATATCTGGAACATGATCAGATTGCAGGTAAATATTCACAATACACCTACGCTCCAAATATAGAAATTTCGCATGATTAGATCCAGTAGGAGGGGAGTTACGACTGAAAAGTACGACTGAACAGCCATTTCACCGAAGACTTTTAAGCGCTACTGTAAGTGGTACAGATCTTTTCTTTAAAAAGCATTTCAAAGTTCTTCCTAAAGTTTCCAAAAAAGAGAGATGAGGATAACTAGATGTCATCTGACCAGCATCGATATGGTGTGCAGCTGTTTATACATGGAATGAATCACACACTAACAACAACAAATTGAGGACTGATGTAATGAAAACATAATTTTTCTGTCGAATAGTTGCAAAATTACCAAATATGTAGCCTTAGATATGGTATTGAGCGCTTTAATGGTTTCCATGAAACTAGTTACCATGCTGTATTGCGCAGCAAGTTGAGCAGTAGGAAAACAGTTCTGCTCTCTTAAGAGCAAGTAGGTAACATCCCTTCGGAATTCAGCTCTTTTGTAATCCTGAAAGGGAGGCATGGAGCTGTGCGATAAGTATTGGTGAACCTAGACTTCCTGATAGGGCAGTTATGAAGTTCAAATAATAGTAGGGTAAACCTTGTTTGAACTCTTGAAGAGTTCTGTGATTAGCCCAATTTGCGGGCATTCTCAGAGCCTGAACGGGACCAAACGTCTTCTCAACCTTACCAACAGGATACCAAGTAATCCTTGATCAAAGGCTCTGAAGAAGGAGATCCTGCCATCGAAATGAATGCCGAAGTTTATAGAAAAAGTACGCGAAGACTCAAAATACTGTTGTTGGAATGGGCCGATTAGTGGTCACACCAGAAACAAAATCCTGCATTCTAATGATTTTTCATGAGTAGGATCAAGGGGGCCTTTTGGCCCTCTTGGAGAAGTGGTCCTCCTCGATTATATTCTCTCTTGGAGATGACCAACTTAGTCCACTCTTTACCTATTACTTATTTTGCTGATATCCACTAGCGCTGACACTTTCACTTTGCCAAAAACTAGACCTAATGTCATTCAACTTGACTTTCCAACATGCGTATTTCGTTTTGAATTTTCAAGCAATTGTTCAGCGACTCGCCACAGAATAATTCACTCCTTTAAAGATTTTTTTTTGCGAGAGGAGGATTCGAAAAAGCCCCACTGTACCTGTCATACAGTGCAGCTTCTGTATAGGCATTCAATCAAATTCGTATTCTCAGGGCAAAGACGAAAATACGGAGTAGCAAAGTGCTGCTCTCAAAAGAATGACTTTTCGATCGAATCTTGCCAAACATATTAAGTCTATTCCTCCATGGAAGGGGAAATAACTCCCAAATAGTCAAAAGATTAGGATGTCACATAGTGCATGTCCGTTTATCATGGGCCGTTGTATGGGGCAGGGCTGCAGTTTGCGATATTAATGATGCATTAGGTGCGTGGCGCGGCCGAGGAGAGTTAATCGACGCCACCTATTCTGTCACTTTTTTTGTGAGGTGAAAAACCTTAGAAATTCCAGTATTCATTCATTAATCAAGATTTTCATTTATTGGGACACAGGGAAAATCCCTGGTGAGCTGTTAGTGTGAGCTAGAGTGGTTTCCAGGTAGGTAACCAACGATAAGTACCGCTCTCGCAGATCTTCTCCGACGAGCCCATAGGCCACAAAAAAAANAAAAAAAGTGTACAAGACGTTCAATTTCTTTCAATCTAGCCCTGCTTTGGCGCTTATTTCCAATGTTTAGTTGTAATTACCGGCTGGTATAAGCTTACTTTATTCTTTTTCCAGGTCAAGGTTCCATTTGTTGACCGAGCGGCGTTGTTGGCAACGTAATGCGGCCTGCTTGGATCGATAGCCGTTTCGGTCACGGCGGCAGAGACCGGATCGATTCCCCGCCGCCGCCCGATACACAGTCGTGGCCGCGGCCGCGCGGCCGCCTCCGACCTCGCGCCGCCCTACGCCGCCGCGTCTCTCGCCGACCCGTTCAGTCTCCTCTCAAGCACGACTGTTGACATACTCACTCTCGTATTGTTATGTGGTTACTCGTCTACTGCAACGATTCCAAAACGTATTCGGTAATCAATAGCGCTGATTTACCCGATTATGAACTCGAAATCGGTGCCATGGTCAATGTGGTTCAAAGTGCTGAGGTTGTATTCATGAGCCCAAACAGGGCGATCTGCGAACGACAATGTGGTGTCTTGAAAAAGACCCCATCACTCTACAAACCGAGCGCTTCTCGTCCAGCGTTGCTACACTCAGAATCAGCTCAAAAGGATGTTATCGAATCGAAACTCGACCGTATTATCGCCTATCTGACCAGCTTTGAACTGCGGCTTCACAAAATAGCTGATCGTCAGCTGAGAATGGAAAGGGATCTGGCAACCCTGACCGGTAGTAGTCCAGTGTGTGAGCATTCAGCACCGCCTCCGCTTCCTCCACCACCCAAACATGATGTCCGGGATCGGAGCCCTGGTCTACCGAGACCATCGAAAAGTGAGTGGTGTGTTGATAACTTCGTAGACGAGATTATTTTTATTTCTTCTATTTTTATTTGATTTTATCTAACCGGTTATTTAGCACTGACATATCCCTATCGTCTGACGCGGGAAATGGTGGACGATTATTATCGATCAAAACGCTCGGCAACAGCGTTCGTTCGGGCTATCGAAAGGGAACTGTTCCTCGATGAAGCTGATCGTGATGTCAATCTGGATAAACGCTCAAATCAGGGAAAGGTAAGTAATTTGGAAGTGTTTGGATTTTTACACGTCGAGTTTTTTATTTTTGTTTTTTTTTTCGTTTTCTTAAATGTCGTTGCTTTCTGTGCGATTGACGGGCATAGACGCACGAGGTCGCAGAGCGGCTGCGTGGCTTATCAATCGATATATGCTGTTATTTTTATAGCCCAATATTGTCCAAAAACTGGGGGAGGTGGGGGGAAGGGTGTAATTATTTTCGTCATTATGATCAATTTTATTGACCATTTGGTCTATAAATATTGTTTTGTTACAGATCAATAGGATATTTGTTTTTTGACATTTTTTTTGGCGATTATTTCCTGATAGCTGCAAGTACATTTAGGGTGCACTTCGAGTGTGATACTCCCCAATCAATTTCTGCCACTTTTTGTGATAATAAGCTCCCTCTGGGTTTTGCTAAAACGATACTTTTTTTGGTAAAAAATGGCTACAACGATAAGTAAAAAGCACTTTAGGTAGGCTTTTTGGATATTCTGCTGGATTTCGCACTTTCTAAGGAGAAGTATGTAGCTTAGGGTGTAAGTTGGGAGCAGTTTTCCATGGACACTTCTTTCTGGAATATAATTTTACTTGTATTTTTTGTAATTTTGCTCTCCTGGCTTTTTTGTACTTCCTCATATCGTCGTTGTTGGATGTCGTGTTTGGTATGTAATGGTGTTATTTACTTTATTGGTATGAATCTAGCAGGGGCAACGTGAAGCATTTGTCCCTCAATTATATCGTTTTGAGAAGTTTCAAAAGCTGAGCGATCTTCTGTGAGGCCCTCCTCATTTGTGTGGTACCCGAAGGCTGTTTTGATGAACTCGAACTCATTTGCAGACGTCGGCAAATTTTCATACCTTTGTTGCTTTGGAATTGATGAGGAAGTGGGTCTAGTCCGGGTTACGGTAGGGAATGTCGATCTGTCTACCCAGAGTGAACGAAGTCGTTTGCTCACATTGTCGGATGGTTTTTTGAGAGGGAGTGTTATGAAAGTTGAGTTTCATAAAAAGTCATCCAGTTGTAAAATTGTGAAACTTGACATTAATTAAACTAGAATTTTAGAGCTAGTTTGAATAAAAATACTGAAATAAAAAGCTAAGGTTTCCTCTAAACATTTCCCTGCTGTCTAAAACCCAGCGTTCAGGTCCGATGGCTCCGCGATCTCGTTCGGGAATGGTATCCATCACCGACATTCAGCGCAGAAGCATCTCTATGGTCGGCCTGCCAAATTGCCATCAACGACTATCATCGAAAGAAGCGAAAAGCCACTGGTATGTATTCATCGAATGCGGAATCATCGTTGGAACGTCCATCGTATTCGGATAGTCCCGAATGGTTGGAACCACCTCCAGCAAAGTATGCTCGTGAAGAAGATGATGATTCTCCGCGGATCATAACGCCCAGTGATTTTGACGATATGAAAGTTTATGCTACGGATTTGCTTTGAATCGATTTTGTCGGTTTTGGATTGAATTTCCGTATAGGTCCCTTATTGGGAACAATTTGTAACTTTTGTTATCGTTGTTATTGTCAGCCTTTATTCATTGTGGGCACTAATGTGACTTCAGGTTACCAGTAAGCTTAATTGAAATTCAGTTTCCGGTCCTGCAACGCTCGCCTGACTTTTGTTCTGTAGTTGCTTAATTCTTATTCATTATTCACTTCAACTGTAGTGAGTGACATCTGTACAAAAATCGTTTATGGTCGCGAGAGTACAGTGCGTATTTGTGTTCCTACCGTACTGCCCTCATTGTTTCATGCAACCGATACGCTTAATTTTACGACTAGTGTAGTAGTATGAATTAATGATGCGGTTGTACAGTAGGAGCTTGGGTTGGTACGGCTTTTTCTTTTTTTTCCTTGGATTGTTTTTGATCTATTATTCTGAACATTTAGGACCAATCGCTTTATTACCTTCTATCTCTCACTTATGTTTTTTTTTTCAGGATTCGAAGATTTTATTGGTGATTTCCCATTATCCGTTTGAATTCCTCGAATTTATTGTGGTACAGACTGCTTCACTTCTTAGTACTGCAAATTTATCGAAAAGAATTAAGAAAATTAACCTCAAAAGCCGATTGGAAGTTGGATTTCGTAGGCAAAATGCAAAAATATGATGAAGACGGCTCACCTTTCAGAATGTCAAGAATGTCGTACTGATCCGCGTCAATATGATGAGGGTAGTACCAAGTATAGATGCAATGGCCAGTACCACTTTAGGCCTTTGACTCCGGTGACCCAGTTAGAACGACCTAGATGACACCTCGTGACCCATGCCTCACTGCCGGTTGCTCCTAGTACGGACCTGGATGTCTGGTAACTTAACGAGGGAAAAGTTCGGCGCAGTAAATAGTGTATACAATACGGGTACGGGGATGCNGTAGTGAATTCGATAAATGACTAAAATCTAAGTGTTGGAGGGTTGGAATTGAATTCATGAACATTTTGATCTTGACTAGTCAATTTATTCAGGTGGTTTTGTGATCTGCAACCGATCCTTGGCCATTGATTACCTCCTGAGAGACGTTATCCGTCACTTTTGCGACATTGTCTGCCAGCTTGTCACAGCAGGTCTTCAAAGTTTTACTTGGATTTTCTTCATATTACTTCCCTGAACTTCTAGGTATTCCTTTGTGTAAATTGAGCATTTCTATCGTATTCTTCCTAGTGATCAACCCGAACAGGTCATGGTCTTTGAAATTCTCTATTTCTACTTTTTGGAAGTTTTCTAGTCATCATTTTGTGATGTGTGACAGGAGATCCCATCAAAGTCGCCATGATGGAATTAGGTCACCGCTTACTATGAATATAAGTAGGCGAGCCACTAGGAGCCTCATTTAGGACAAGTTGACCCATTTTTGCCTGGATGACCTCGAAGGAACATCATGACCGCTGCCCAAAATTCATGAAACCAGAAATTATTGTAAACAACCGCCACAACCTATTGCAAACCTCCTTTCATCCTGTTCATCCTGTAGTGCTCCTACTTTCCAGTTACTAGAGAGCTAAAGGCATGTTCAGTGCTCTCAGATACTTCCCAATGATTTGGCCAGCCTGAATTGCAACGAGGTTTGCTTGTCCAGATGTTCTGGGTCATTCTAATCCAACTGTTCAAGGAGGAGGGAGTTGTATCTGACTGAATCGGGGCTTTTCCGTATTGGGACACATTCATCCAACACTGGGCCCATCCCTATTGGCGCACATTTATCCAACACTGGGCCCATCCCTATTGGCACACATTTGTCCAACACTGGGCCCATCCCTAAGGCGTTGACAACAAGTAAATAAAAGTGTAAACCATTGCTTTTGGAGGAAATCTTGAAAACCCCCGCATACTTGGAAAGCTACAGATCCATTTTAACACCTTTGTGACATTCAGTGTACTCTATGAATAACCAAGCTAGAAGTCCCTATAATCCCATTTCATGGGGTAGTGGATTAGGATTGGCAAAAAGTGCTGACGTCAGCAGTCACCCAGTCGCCCAGGGATGGCCGTAGATTACTTTCCAGAAGAGGTGTAGTATCGAATGTCAACAGACGTTTTCAGAGACACCGTCAATGGCGTCATTACGCTGACGTGTGGTTGAGGAAAAACTCCCAGAAAATGTCGTAAACGTAACATTTGAATAACAAGAATTACTCGAATATTTCTATTTAAAGCATTGATATTTATACTTTCAAAATCAGAGAACGGTAACTGGGTACCTTCAAGAAAGCCAATTCTATCTTAAAACGGGTTGGATTTGAAGAATGGAGTTTTTTGGTGCTGATCCATCCCGTTCCGGGAAGCACCCAGAATTCGGCATTCATTCCAAATCGAAGTGAAGCTCGAGGCGTATTGGACCCATGCAAAAGCTTGCGAGGGCCAGAAGGTGTGGAAGCCAGCGCTTTTGTCTTCGTAGACAAGTTTGATACCAATCGGATGACTCTTAAAAAGTAAAGGAAGGGTTGGATACACGGGTCGGGCAGGCGGGTAGCGGTCCGGTATTCACAGGCGACACTTTATGAGGATGAATAGATGAAGAGTTGTTCAGCTAGAGTTAGATCCAATCCAGCGCTAATCCTGTGTAAAATGCTGAGCAACGAACCTGTATCCATGCTTTCCGAATACGGGGGTTGTCCATTACGCTATTAGGTGCTTTCAGAGCTCAACGACATGCATTAGTTCAACCGACGACCAACCGACCGACCGCGTTGCTGGCATCGCGTTGACAGCGTTGGACACCGATTGTTATCGCTCACGCAGCACTAAACACAGTCTGTTCTACGTTGTCAAAGCGTGGCCAGCAACGCGGTCGGTCTTTCGGTCGACGGTCGAAGAGCACGCGTCATTATGTGAATGTCTGACTGAAGATTGAAGAAAAATGGAAAAAATTCATGCATGCTGGAAACCGCTATCAAATCCACCATAGAGAGCTAAGGAAAGTAGAGTGGGAAGGGAGACGGGCGTTAGGAACGATTTCGGGTAATCGATTAGCCGCACGCGGCTGTCGCGGACCACTCATTCGCCGTTATTACAGCTCTGGCGTTCTTCATACAGCCCAATTGATATGTGATCATTATTTTATGCATAATTCAACTATTAGTACTTTTGTTCTTGTATTTCTTACCTACTGCTCCATCCTGCTACATTCCTTCGCGCGCGACGCCCCTCTCACCGCGAAGCGACCATTTCGTTCCTAACGCACCACACCGAGTTGGAATCTTGGTAGGGTAACAAGTGAACTTGGTAACCAGAAAGTTCAAGTTTTATCTGAAGCTCAACTCGTAAATCGGGGATTTTTCCTTGAAAGTGCGCATGAGCTTAAAGCGATATGGGTTATAAAGCTTTTTTTGAGAGAGGATATCATGCATCCAAGCAAATTCACTACTGAAAAACTAATGATAGAGTTAGCGTGCGTGGGTAATGGGGATTGAATCGATCTGAGATTTGATCCAAGGACTCCATGATCGGAGTGGCACTATATTGCACCCCTTCATGGCTGTTCATATTACTAGTTTCCAATACAATTCGTCAAAAGTGCTCTCCTAAACTTTGAACTTTGCTTGTATTCTGGAGCAAAACTAAGTCACTGAACGACCTGGACCAATTGCCTTTGGATGCGCCCAAATTTGACTGATATCGACAGCCTGTTTCCGCTGCCAGTCTGTTCTCATGTTCCGGGGCCGTAGTGGGTGGTTTTTTGATGTCGCTGTATTCTATTTAAGCTCTCATGTCATTTCAACAGCAGCGGAGACCACAGCTCCTATATCTTCTGACGTGCCAAAGTTGAAGATTGGGTAAGGGACTCTGCCATCAAGTGGGAGAGAGGAGTGGTCGGGGATCTGCGGCAAGGGGTAATGGGAAAAGATAAGGAACGGTACGGGAGTGTTTGTATTGGTTATGGTTGGGAAGACAAAGGAGAATCCGTGTTTCTTATTTTGAGTTGGAAATGGTGTTACTACTTACCCATACCCTCTTGGTTTGAGAGCTTCTCAGGGGAGAGTCTCATTTTTGCGATATAGCATTTTTGCTCTGTTCGTCTCCTTCTGCTTATTTCCTCAACAATCTTCCTCACTGGCGTAATCTTGAACCTATTTCAGAATGAGCTCAGTGAGAAAGCTGTGCCGGGAGAAACTTTCTCGCCGGCCGATGGCCAAGAGTTGTTCCTCATCCTGTCCAGGTCCGGACCCACGTTACTGTACAGCGTGGTTGGTACAATTGACTGTAAGTATCTACCTATCAATTTCATTTAACTTTCTATTTTTTTTGTTTTTCGTTTTTTTTTNTTTTTTTTTCTCACCAAACTCGACAAATATTGCTTTCAGATCGCTCTGTCTTCGACGCTATCCCGAATAAGAGCCATTCCATTCCACTGAATCATACCTAAGGTTGGATATCTAAGGTTTTGGCGTCTATGGTGTAAGGTTAGTGTTGAAAGTCCAGCTCACGACACATTTTTGAAACGTTGAGACTGGGGCAGTTGACGAACCTCTAACAGATAGAACGGTGAGGTGGCATATTGCCAATGATCCCCTCTCCCAGCCAGCCCCTTCCAAAGGCCGTCATTTCCGTCGAGGGACTTCTGTTAGACCGGTTTTCCTACGAATAGATTCAATAGAGCAGGGTTTTTAAAGGGCTCGACAGTACACGCCGTGCTTCCAACTTTCATCCAGAATTGTACTGATGTGAAATGTGTGAAAAGGGTTAGGATTTGGAGCTACTCATTGTAGAACCCTGAGACACCCAAATGTGTTCGTCATCTCAAACTACCCAGACGATCCCATGTATACGGATTTTGTTGGCTTGGGCGGTATTTGAACCTTGGATTGTACAAATGGTAAAGACCTCAGATGACATCATACTATTCGGGTACTCCAAAGTTTATTCTTTGTTCCGTTGGAAAAAGGATTTTATCTCGGTCAGGATCCATGCTCTTTAGTTGAAGGCTTATATGACGGGAAAAATCGCTGACAATATTTTCTATTTTCAGGGTGACCGATACACACAAGTACATGGCCGTTACAGAAGAAACCAGTAGAAATTTTCGGGCTGTTGGGATCGGACAGGAAGGACGTCTGGCTCATATCTGTCAAGATTCCATCAACATCACGGTCGTTCCCAAAAAGACCTTCATGTTCGGCTTCCCCGATTTCCAAGGAAACCATTTGGAGATTTGCGTCAAAAGATTTTTCGTGGGAACGGAGACGCGACAGGTAGGAGGTCTAGCGTTAACGAGATTGTCGTCAGTTATGAAAACGATATCATCAAGAGCAGTATTCTAGAAAGTAATGCCGTTTACGACAATGTCGCCCACTCCCAATTACGAAGACACTGAAGGATTTGTTGAAACTGCTACCATCTCAGCCCATGATTGCTCACCCACGATGATATCTGGGAAATGCGCTTCGAACAACTTCGGACATGACTATCTCGAATCCTACTGGTAGGCTTTTTTCGACTATAAGAAGAATAAGAAGAAGCAGATTCGGCTCATTGAATGTGAAAGTTTTTGGAGTGCAATGAAGTAGGTAAGTAATTTCTGAAGGCTGGTGCTTGCCTTATCTTCCCCTATAGTCACTATTTTGGCCGATACGCTTCGTAAATGTAGTGGCATTACTTAAATGCCTATGAAGCTCATTTTCTGTCGCCGGACTTTCAAGAAGCTTCTTTGAGCATTTTTAATCTCTTCGTTGGTCCGACATAAGACCTCATGTTCAACTTTTGGAGAAGGCAAGGACCCCAGACAAGTATCTCGCCCTACCTTGTCCTATCTGCCTTGTTGGCTTGAATATATGGGCCATATTCCGGCTTTAATATTCAGTTATCGTAACTCAATATGGTATACGGTATAACTGTGTTATTTGGAAGGCTTATTACGGTTGATTACAGTGAAGAATACAGTGTGTCTGAAAGTAGATAGAAGTTTGAATGGTCCCGTTGTGGCGAGAGGACGACCTCGAAAAGATCCTCGATTTCAAAAATCTTTTTGTGGTTGAGATAACTCTGTGCAAGCAGCTCTTTGGACATGAAGTTAAGCTGGTTGATGAAAGCGGACGAGTTTTCCAAAATTTAGCTACCGTAAGACGCCATGTTTTGGGAAAACTGATACGATACTATCCTATCGAGTGTTTTTGAGTATAGAATGACCGAGCAACATCTTGAATAGGCCGAAATCAGGAAAGAAAGTAATTTCTCTGAACAGAGTAATTGCGTAGGGTAGGCCAAGTCCTAAAGGTTCTAGTGCCATTTGGGGGCCCAAGGAACGTTTATCAGTTATTATTTCAATATTTTGGTAGTTCGATATTTTAAAATGTAATAAAATCTGATATTTATCTATTATTCTCACTTCGTTTGATTATAAATATTAACGGGGAGGCGCTTGTAATCAGTAGGCGGGGCTCGTAAAGCAGATCTTCAGCAATGTTGCAGAGGTGCCAGGATATGTGAAGAAGTATTACAAAAGGGGTCTAGAGGAACCCTGAAAACTGGTTTTAAGGGCAGCGAAGTTCACCTGCGAAACCCGAGACGAAGATGGAAGTTGCTCAAACGGGTTGCTGTTTGATCATGGGGATTTCTCCACGGGATAGGAGATGGATGTGATGAAGCGAATTGGTTTCTGAAGCAGTTTCNAAAATTTTCTCTACTCATTTCGATGCTACAATTCGTACCGGTTTTGGATGTTGTAAAGGTTTTGAGATCTTCAAAAACATTTCAAAAAAGCCAGACGTCTGAGGAATCGGCTTGGGTAGCCTGCTGGATCACGAGCAAGCAGGGCACTAAAGTGCGCTAGGCGAGCTGAACGTTTTCGGGATATGTTACCCTCATACAATTGGGAACTATTCCCACTTTTTGGGGGTTTTCTTGGCTGAGTGATGGATAATAATCGAATAATTACGACCTTTTAAAAGGAATATTAGACGATGGTTTCAGAACCGTTACGACATGATTTTTGCTCGTAGATTGAGCTGTAGTTAGAGAAAACTTTTCGGGAAATGGTTTGACGTCAATGGAATAACACCTGAGTCTCGTTGGCGAGTTGAACGATCTGGGTTTTCACTCTTTCCCTCCCTATAGGAGCAGCACGGCTAGCTGTTTATTAACTCGACATATCTCGATGTTTACATAGCTTACTTATGACTTCGTCAACGGATTAGTATTAAGTCGACTCTAAGCTGAAGCCTCAGTAAGACGTGAAGAGCTTTGAAGGTGTTCGCTAGAGGTGTCTGCAAAGTAAGCTAAGCCGATTACTTGCATGAGTCAGAGATGTCGTCAACTTGGTTTTCTACCCTGAGCTGCAAANNCAAGATCTATGTGGGCAAAGGTAAGTAGGTACGTGGGCAAAAACAGCTACGACTCTGATAGGTTTTCATGCCATTCATCCACAGATTGTTCAAGAATTTATGCATGTAGATGTCTGGATTGTTCAATTTGAAAGGTATGCTGATAACCATTGCTCTGCTACTCCCCAGCGATTGTGGCAGTAATAGAATGGTGATGAAAAGATTTTGGAGCTCGAACAGTTGGGTCGAAAAAGCCTAGTCATCTCCGTGGGAATATGAACCATAAAGGAGACAGACTTTTCTACCAAGCAGGAAATGGGACTTGTGTGTTTGGGAGGGTGATTGAAGGCTAGAGAAAGAGGTACGATCTACAATGGAAGGAATGGATCTGGGAACTTGCTTAACGGCATCGAATAGGAGAAGTGCCATTGCGCTATGCTTTCGACTATTTTTCCTGTACTCTTTATATCCGTACAACTAGCTATCGAGCGTTCTCGAAAAAATTTCCAAAGGATCCAGTGAAATCAAAGTTGAATAGTACCTTCATTTGATGGGGTTAAGTTTTCAATTCTGACACAACTACTATTTATAAAGAATAATGTGCTGTCTAAAGAAAATTATGAGCAGATATTTTCAAAGCTGGCGATTTTTTAGAATTGGCTCCAAGTAGGGAGCCTTGTGCTCAGTGGGCAGCNAACTAGCTATCGAGCGTTCTCGAAAAAATTTCCAAAGGATCCAGTGAAATCAAAGTTGAATAGTACCTTCATTGGATGGGTTAAATTTTCAATTCCGACACAACTGCTATTTATAAAGAATAATTTGCTGTCTAAAGAAAATTATAAGCAAATGTTTTCAAAGCTGGCGATTTTTTAGAATTGGCTCCAAGTAGGGAGCCTTGTGCTCAGTGGGCAGCTAGGCCTGAGATGCTTGTAGAATTTTTTTGGTAAAAAATTAAGTTTTTGAAATATTTACTTACTTTGCACTTATTTTATTTTTGTAAAATTATATTATTGAAGATTCCAAGGTTTTGTGAGAAAAAATTAGGTTATACTAGGTCTTTAGGTGATTGGAAAGGATTGTTGGAATGGCCTAGGGTAGGGATCAGCTACCAGTTTAGGGTGATAGGCTCAAGCTGCGATAACTGGCTCCCACCATTAAATGAACGGCCAAATCAACAAGAGATTTCAATTCTCAATGGTTGTTTACATCGTGGCGCATCCTAGAACATGAACTACTATCTTCGGAAAGCTTGTCTTCTTGTATCCTGCCAGAAATCTCTATCCCGGCTTGGCGTTTCTGTTTTCTTTGGATATTCTGGTAGATGTTCAGAGCGGTGGAAGTAATGAGAAGGCGATGAATGTCCGGTCCATGCTTACCTACTTGACTCCACTCAACCTGAAAACTGGTGACCAATGTCTTATGCAAAGAGTTCGGTAAGCAGTCAACTCCCACTTAGGAAACATCAATGCCCGAAGTTTGGTGAATTAGCCATCTAGAAAGAAGCACCGGAACCTCCACCAGTGATCAGACACCAGCCACTTTAATGCCCATGTCAAACATCGAAGAGCAAAAAGCTTTAATAGATTACGTCGGGCTCCTTTCAGGGTGACCGCCACCGGGCCAAGCGATGTTGGCACAATCCCCGGCCTGACGCTGATCGGAGTGCTTTCAAAAATGGCCTGTTGGCGTGTTTTGCATCGTTGTTGTTCAGAAGGAGTCGTGTGTAAGTCCAGTCATGCGTGCGAAATTGGCTGCTCATTAATGCCCAACTGGACTTGACACAAACATGAACCGAAGAAACAAAATGAACGGCGGCATCAATCGCCAGAGCGTCAAGCGTGAGTGTGTCAGGGCCGCATTGAGCATGTCGTCTCCTCGATTATCGATCGACGGAGTAAGAGATGCAGAGTCGTCCTTGCGTCTCTCTTCCAAATTCTCAGCAGATTTTTCGCCCAGGGGTAGTTCATTTTGCAGCGTCTGCCCTAAATCTTCCTCAAAGGCCGCCCTGGTTGGCCTCTATTTGTGGTGTTGTGGATAAGAAGGAGCGGGTTTCCTGAGCCAAAAGGAACTGGAACATCGTGAAGTTGAGATGAACCCAGTTCAGCGAAGTAATGTTTGTCTCAGAAGTTTGACTGACCCCTGAAAGTTAAGGAAATGTTGACTTTTTTGAGTCTATTTTTAGGGAAATATATACCAAGCAAATATGTAAATGTAAAAATAAATATTCATAATAAATAAATATAAATAGTAATACTAAATTGAAGGATTTGGATAATAATTGAATAAAATAATTGAAATGTTCTACTTTTATCGAGCCGGGTGCAGTGGGAGTTTCAAAACGTTTTTGAAATTCGTTTTGCATCACGGTCGAACCACAAAGCCCCTCGTATCTAGCTCACAGGAGGTGTGCCAAATTTGGCTCGCTTTCTGCGTGAAATATGCAAATAAATAACTAGCTAAGTAAATAAATAAATAAATAAATAATAAGAATAATGATTAGTCCTAATTTGTTATTTTTGTTAATTGCTGTTATCTGAATGCATGAACAAGAGAATAAACATCGAGTACTCGTTTTGTAAACTTTTTTTCAGGGAATATTTTTTGAATACCATTTTCCACCGAAAGCGTTTTTCTTGCTATTGGTAATTCCACATCCTGGGCGGCTTCTAGAAACATGGTTCCGGGTTGTACACATGTTTCCTTCCTGAATAGGCTACCTGATCGGGAGATTTTTCATATTTAGTGATCTCTGCAACACAACTTTTTAATCATGGCCCCTTATCCCCTATTAACATCACAGAGCTCTCCCCCGGAGCCTCCCAACGTCATGTTGTCGTGTATTGTTGGTGCCTATCATGGTTGGGACTCCTATCCTCCTATCAGAAAATGGGTCAGTAGGACTTCTTTGGGCCCCAGTCAACATTGGACAGCTAAACCTGAAGGAGAATTTAAGCTTAGAGACACAGTGGCCAACAATTCCTAACCGTCTACGTCTCTCTTGCTTGCACACTACCTCATTTGCGCTTGCGCTGATCGCTGTTCGTCGAGTCTGAACGCGATCTTTCACCGAATACTACAACAAGATATCAATTAAATAACTTTATTCTTATATTGACAAACACAAACAACCTAAACAGGATTGGGGTATTATTTACAAGATCTGGTGTATAAATGCCATTTGAGCTTGAGCAGAAAATTGCACCACAAAATACTAGACACTAGGGAGAACAGATAGGGGACAGGGATCAACCGGTACCGTAATCGGTATAAAATCTTAAAAATTTAGGAAAGCAATCACTGCTATCCTATCATGTTCATGGGACAATGAACCTGGGTGAATGGGGATGCCGTACCCGTCATTTCGACCTTGTCTGGGAGACGAGGGACGAATTACTTTACTTATCCGCGAGCATGTTGCAACGCGGTCAGGTAGTAATCCCAAAGTCTCTACGCCGTCTACATCATAGCTGCTCGTGTTAGTATGTTGTATACAACGATGTCGTTCGTCAGCGTCATGCTGAAGCCGCTCTACCGTCGTTGAGTGATGTTGATTCCGGTACGTAAGAAGACGTCAGCGGCTCGTTTCTCCATGTCTTCTTCCACTGCAAAAATAAAAATTAGGTTTTTATCGGAGTTGGATGATGCAATAGGAAGAGAGGCCGCTGCCGGATGAGGGCTTACTCGTTCAATTTCAATCGCCTTTCCTAGAACAGTCCCAGATAGTGCCTTTCGGCAAAGTTTTGGCCCACAACCTAAACGGGTAGGAAGGAGTCATAAGTTGTAAAATGAAAAGGTGGCAAATAATTTTTTTTGTAAGTGGTTATAAGGTTCTTGTTTACATGGGTACTCAAGGAAATTTTCCCAGGAAGGCCCAAGTGAACCCTTAAAAAGCAGAAAGAGCTCAAGTCAACAAAATTTGACTTCTCCGAATCAGCTTAGACTCCGATGGCCGTCCCCTGGAACCAGTCCGAGCAATCTCGTCTCTGATGAGTGGTTTTTACGGGACACAACCCCATCAGTGGAATAGTATGAGCTGTCTCTTCAAAAAACATCGTAAAAGCTGCAAAGGTCAGTTTCAGGAGTTTCCGGGAGGTTGCCTCCACCACGGCTGGGTATGTCCGTAAACGACCTGGAAGACTTGCTTATCACCTGGAAGGTTCGGAATCACCCATTAAGTAGGCGTGTAGTAGAGAGTAAGCGCCAAAGTGAGCCTTCGGGTCAGACGAGCCATGTTCCGGCTTTTTTCTATTGCAACCCTTTCGGAAGTAAAATATAGCTTATGGGAACAAAAGAAGGGGGAACCTATTCGGTCCAAGCTAGGACATCAGTACTCCAACGTTTCGCTACCCAATATCAATGCATTTGTGAGGTAAATCAGAGAAAGGGCATTGCCGCGCGCGGCGCGCGGCAAGCTGTGCGATGTCGCGCAGTTACCTTATGAGCCGCCTCTTCCCGGAATATCCAATCCATGAAGTTTTGTTGAATTTAGAGTTAAGTTAAAGTGGATTCAGAATAAGTTCACCTATAACTATCAACTTCGATCCTATAGTCGTTAATCCTGACCAAGAGAATTCAATAGGCCTTAAAAGGTGAGGGTCACTCCGTGAGGACAGGTGGTACCAACTGGGTCAACTGTACGGTAATTTTGTNTTCAAAAACGTCAAGGAGGTATGTTCAAGTACTTTCAAGACATAAGGGCCCTTGAAAGTTCGCGAAATTTCGATGAATTTCCAATCAGGCAAAAATTAATTAGGCGTTCGATCCTCTTCAGTGGATACGGTAGGCGACTTTTACAATGATAAAAAACATATTTTCAATTTTTTTAAAATGTTTTCTAATCGTCAGTACATACTCGAAAATCGAGTCTTCCATAATAAAAACAGATCCAGCTGCATGAGAAATTCTCTATAATAATTGCAATATTTTGAAAAAAAAAACTTTATAATTTTTCTTTTTCAAATTTTTTTCAAAAAATTTTCAATTGCTGAAAATAACAGTTCCCCTAACAGCTTTTATTATTGGATTGGCAGGTTCTTAATAATATGGCTGCTAATTTATTTTGCATTTTTGCAAATAATAATAGCAGGGTGTGAATAAAGGATGAAGGACGAAGTTTTTAGGCGTGAATAAGTCCCGTCAGAGGAATGCGCCACGCTTTGACATCAATTCAAAATCGTAGTGACATATTGAATGCGTATGTGGCCTATATAATGACTTCCAGTGGCCAGTCGATGTGCAAGTCAGTGCTTTTATCCTCTCAGACAAGTCTGGTACCAATTAGCCGACCCCAGAAGGATGGAAGGCTTGGTTAGCCTAAGCGGATATGGTCACGGGATTCGAACCCGTTACCATGCATGTTTGATAGTGCACCACCTAAACTGCACCACCAGCGCCCCTGAGTTATACCATTAAAAACGTAAAAAATGAAAAAAATCAAATACATGTACTTCAGACAGGATACTATAATCATAAATAGTAAATAATTCGCAATCACTATTGACTGAAATGATCTCTCTTATGTATTAGCGGATAACGAGGGTTGGGCTGTACCCTTAGTTGGGTACTACCCACGCTCCCTATTGGTTTGTTCCATGTTGAGGATGGTGTTGCCCAAATGAGGATTGAATTATGACCCATAAATGGGTGAATTAAAGTGTGTAGTGGCAAGGGGCGCACTATATCACACGCACGGTCAGGGGTTCGAATCCC